AGCAGCGTCCTCCACAACTAGATTGAAGAACAAAACGACAGCAACTTGTCTGTTCCCCTTCCCCTAATTCCCCAGTACTGTTCCCATCCCCCCAACTACCCAATAAAAATCTTAAAAAAAAAAAAAGATTTAGGCTCCTTATTTAGGGAGAGTAGAAAATCATTCCACATGGTACCCAACTCCAGACCTCTCCCTTAGAGCTCCAAGAACTGCCTGGGGTGGAGGCAGATGGCTCTTGGAGCAAAACAGACATTTTTTTTTTCAGCATCAGAATTTATCAAGTCAAACAACAGTAGTTATTCAAACTAGGTTTTTTAAAGTGATATGCAGCCAAAACTTTTCAAGGTAGAAAATAAACTCCAATGTTCATAAACACTAAATAATGCAGCAAGAAACATAAAAATTCACACAGGAAGCATTCTTATCAAAAATGTTAATCCTGGATGTGATCATGAGGAAACAGACAAACCCTGAGTGTGAAACAGATTCTGGCTTAGATTATTTTTTTTAATTAATTAATTAACTTATTTTTGTTTGTTTTTGTTTTAAGGAGGGCACATCTCAGTGGCCCATGCAGGATCGAACTGGCAATCTTGGTGTTATCAGCACCACGCTCTAACCAACTGAGCTAACCGGCCACTCCTTAGATTCTATTTTTAAAAAGTCTATGCCATGGGAAGAAAGAAAAAGAAAAAAATCAGGACTTTCTTAGATTAAAATATACTAAAGAAATGTAACAATTAATTGCAATATATAAACCTGGATTGATTGAAAAAGAACTATATTAAATACTCTGGAAATAGGGGAAATATGAAATTCTTTAGGTATAAAGTTGATAATGTGATTATATAGATAATGTTTTTATTCTTGAGGGATGCCAAGATGTAACAGTAAAACAAAATTTAGGAGTGAAGTATCATGATGTTTGCAACTTATTTTCAAATGGTTTAGCAAAGATAGACAGATAGATAGATAGATGATAGATTGATCTAATGTTTTATATATACATGCAAAGAGAGAAGAGAGGGAGAAAGTGAATGTGGCAAAACTTTAACAATGATTAATCTGTGTGACAGGTATACAGGCATTCATGGTACCATTCTTTCAACTTCTCTGTAGGTTTGGAAAACATAATAAAAAAGTTGAAGAAATTGTATCTATATACTGCTCTTGCAATATTATATGAAGATAAGTATTATCTTGTCATTTCATTTTTCAGTTGAGTATGTTATTGGCTATATTTGCATACTGTATAATTGTTCCTTTTAAAAAATATTATTTCATTTTGCCCTCTTAACTCCCAAGGAGGAACATTCACATAATAAATTTATAACCAACCATGGCCAGGTTCACTTCAGGAATCATCTTTATAGGTTCATTTGTACATTCTCTAATAAGGAGTTTTATGGCCATGTATTTTATGGCCCCCCTTATGTGTCCCTTTACTGTTCCTCTTGCCATGGTGTTTCTTCTTATGACAAATGTTGCCTTTTGCATTTTTCTTGGCCGCTTGTTGTTTCATCCACCGCTTAATAATACGACTGTGCGGGCTGACACAGATTCTTCTGTGCTTGACATGAAGGCTGCCAAAAAGGGACGGAAAAAAAATCACTGATAGAAAGTACAAGTAACAGCTTAGTGACTTATAGGCATTCCCACTTTTAGACACAATGTATTCTTAGAGGCTGAATCCTACAACTGAGTACCACAGGGTTGATTCTTAACTTTACTACACTGCTGCCTGTGGTTCCTCAGATATCTGCAGAAAGTATTAAAAGAAGGAGAAGGAATTGGAGGAGAGGGGAGGAGAGGAAGGGAGGAAAGGTGGAGGGGGAGGCTAGGAGGGGGCAAAGGGGGAAACCAAGAGAAAACAATTCTCTTTCTGAACTCCAAGCTTCACCCAACAAAACCGATTCATTTCTTACTGCCCATCTCACCCATATCCTCCTCAGTAAGGTTTTTCTAGGTTCTCTCAGCTAAGTGCCCTCTTTTTTCCTTTGAGTTTCCATGGCACTGGTTATATCTCTTCTGCCACTTAGTTTACTCCATCTTTTATTTGAGTACTTGTCTCAGTCTCTCTTTTTTCACTGTGGATTATGCTCCTTGAGGGAGGGAGGGATAGTCTGGAAGTGTCTTGAAAAGGCCTGTGCACAGTAGGAATTCAGTAATTAGTTGTAGATATGAAGTGAAAATTGTTCAAAATAAGGACAGTTTGGTTTTGTTTTTAACAAAACTAAAATATCCTACGCTTTTGTTTACATTTTCATATAATATAGATCTATACCACATCTCAGAATTTGTTTTCATTTTTCTGTATGAAAATTTGACATTGGGAGTGGGAGACTCTTAGAGCACCATTCACAATTTCTAGCAACTAGAAGAATTTTTTTTTTGTTACAGAAGATATTGTGACTTTTAATTCCCCATGAGGTGCCCTCTAGTTTTTATTAAATGTCACAAATCCTGCTGGCTCTATGCATACAATATTTCTGTGTCTGGATAACTTGAGACCCTTGACCCTGTTTTCCTAAAAGGAATCATCAGCTAATGTGGGAGGAAAAGTTGGGAAAGACTTAAATGAGCTGAAGCATAATAAAGCCAGCAGGTGGGAATGTTAGTTTGCAAAAAGTGAGGCATTGGGCCTGTCAAGTGGCGCGTTGGTTAGGAGTTGGCTTGGGATGCCAGCTCTGAACAGCAGGGCCTCGGTTCGGATCCCACATGAGGGCCAGTGATGCTGCGCCCTTTACAGCTAAGATGGTGAACAACAGCTCTACCTAGAGCTGGGCTGCCGTGAGTGGCCTGTGATGGCGTGGGCTGCAGTGGGGCTGCAGTGGGCTGCCATGAGCTACCGTGAGTGGCCGGCAGCGGGCGTGAGCTTTCGTGAGCGGCCGTGAGCAGCCATCCATTGGCCAGCAAGCGACTGCTTCACCTGGGAAGAGCGCAATGATAATATCAACGTGGGCCAGTGAAGCAACATCCTCCACAACTAGACTGAAGAACAAAAGGACAGAGCAACTTGTCTGTTCCCCTCCCCCAATTCCCTAATAAAATCTTAAAAAAAAAAAGTGAGGCATCTTAACAAGAGAATAATACATTCTATTGTATTAGATTGAGGGGTCTTCAAAAGAAAAACTGCTTCTCATTATTGCCAGTTGGTGTGCCTTTAGTTATCATAGGAGGAAACTTGGCTGTAGCAACATGGAGGAAAAAACAAAAAAGTGTTGATGCTCCTACCCTTGCCAAAGGACAACCTGTCTCCTTCCCTGTGGTGTCAAAGAGAACCTGGGCAGACACCCACTGGAGAAAGACTCCACTGACATCCAGATAAACCCAGAAGTTCCACAGGAGAGAACTAGGACTCAACAGGAGAGAACCATTATTTCTCGAGGATGGAGGGGCTCCTGGGAGGGGCACTAGCCCTGGGACTGAAGGGAGGCCTAGACGCAGGGGGGTATACACAGAGGACCCAGGGAGGTGGAGAACCACAGTTAAATAGACAGCAACTACCATGTGGGACCCTTTTCAAAGGCCTACCCAGTATGACCTCAGCCTTTCAATGTAATGTTAGAGAAAAAATCAGCTACCAGAACACAGCTACCAAATCCAAGATGCTATGATGTTTTAAAATCTTTAAGTTTAAAGGCTACTTAAACCTCCACTTGTATCCCATGTGTATTCCACCAGGATAAAAAGAGGTGAGGTAATGTTGGGCAGGGACGTAGCCTATCCGATGCTCCCAGCCGTATCGTATTCTGATGGGTACTGGCCCACCCTGTTGTGAATTTCTAGGTGGAGAGTTTGATGCTAAGAAAACAGAAGGCTGATCTCCTAATTCTTTTACAAGAGAGTAGCTAACCCAATGAACCTAAATGTGTGGACTTGCTGTAGAGATTGTACCTGTAATTGTTACCTAGACTGTATTTCTTTGCCTGTGTCTCTAAGCACAACAGCCCTTAACAACTACTTCTGAAAAAATATTCAAGCCTGCCGGATAACTTCATATAATAATCCCAAATTTTCTTCCCAACAGATAATGCCTGTGTGATTCAAGAAACCTCAGCCATCTACCCAAGACAAACAACTTAGCATTGTATTTATGTCTAGAAACAGCCAAAAGCTCTCTAATGAAGTCACTGTGAAGGAGCTTGAACAAGCAAATTGCTGTCTCAGACATCAAAAATTACAATGATCATTTATGGGGTGTGAAACAAAGGACCTATTTCTAGGCAGAAATGGAAAAGAAAAGAAATCCAATGAGTTCTCTGTAAATTAGTTTATATTCGGTAGTTGTGATAAAAAATACATGCTATTTGGGAATTATATGTTCAACGCTTGCAGTGTTTTCTGCATCTAAAACACTTGTTGCAAACCTTGAATTCTTTATATGTATTGACAGTTAAGGGATAAGTAAAGACATGTTCTGTAGTAAAACAAAAGAACTTTTATCGATTTATATTGAATGTCAGGAAACACAACAGGGAAGATCTGTAAGTTATGATTAAAAAATGCTATGTAGTCAAATTTCATCTTATTTGGGACCAGGTCATAACTTTTTAAAATTTTCAGCTGTTTTATGAGCACAAAGAGGTTAATTTACAAACTTGTACTAGAATAAAGTAGGTATTTTAGATCTAAGTGATTGACTGCATAGTTTCCCTTTAATTAAAATTGAGTCCTTATTAAAATGATAACTCATGTTTTTTATCACATTTTCATTTATCAAAGTGAGGACTTACATCATTTCTGTTCCTAAACCTTTTAGATCTCTATCTGGCACCTGCTTATCCTAAAGAAACTTCTCTGAAACTCCTGTTACCAAACTCCTGTATCAGTGTCCCCGGTACTCCCCAACATCTGTCTCCTGCTACACACACACACAGAAACTTCTGGCAGTTCTTTCCCCATGCCTTCCTAGGTGTCCCATGGGAGCCCTTACAAACTCTGAAGCCTTCTTCAGTCTGGGATGACATGTGCCAACGAGGTGAAAGGGATCGAAAGTTGAGAATTTGGTGTTACTGAGAGTAGCCAGAACAGCCTCAGGCAGATTTTGTTCAGCCAGGCAGATCTGACTCAAATATACAAATGATTTAAATTTTCCAGAACACTGGTTACCCTTGAACTGCCTATGAATTTTCACTCTCCATCTACTACCAGCACTATTTATTAAGATTAAGTCAGAACTGATAGAGTTATGGCCAGGCATTTACTAAGGGAGTTTTTCAAAGAAGTTGGGACATTGAAGTACCCCTCAGAAGGTACCTCATTAGGAAGTAACCCCTGGGTTGCTATAGAACACACTGGTTCCCAGTGACTGAACCACCCGAGACAATGGATCCAGTGTGGTGGTGACATGAACTGAGGAGATGCTGAGAGAGTTTTCTGCCCTCTCCCTGTTCTCACATAGACCTCATGCTTATTACAAGTTTGGGCCAGGAATTGCCTTGCTCCACACATCTAACCCCAAGTGTAATTTTAAAACTTTTTTAGACCTAAGATATTTTTGAAGGTCTTATAAAATCTATGGACCTTCTCTCCAGAAAAATGTTCACACATTCAGACCCACAAATTTCAGGGACTTCACAGCTCCTCTGTCCTGAAGGAAGTCCATCAGTGGACATCTTACAAATTCTCCCTCTGATCTTCTAGAACCTTGCCTTGGAGCCGTGTTTCTCAAAGTTGGGTAATGGATAGGTTCCTCTGATGGGGAAAAATGTATCTTAAATCTCAGAGACTGGTCTGCAGGACCCACCTGGATAGTCTCCTGGAGACTCTAGGAGGGCAGAGTCTATTTTGTCACTGCTGCATCCCCAGCACATAGAATGGTGTTCAGTACATAATCGTTAATTGATAAATATTTGTTGAATTCATTGAATAAATAAGGAGGTTCCCCAATGACTCCGGAACTCAGGCATAAGCAATGGGACTATTTGTAGCCCCAAGAGGGGAACACCAAATGGCTCGTTAGCGTCGCCTGGAACCATAAGTGGTGTCAGGGAAATGCCTGATATGCTGTCATTATGATTTGAAGGTGCTGAATGGAATGGCATTTAAGGAGAGCATTTTATGGTTAGTCCCACCATCCCTTTTGAGAGACCTTGGAAGTACATAGTGCTCTGAACAAAGAGACCTGGGCTCACATCCCATTTCTGCCATTCACTAGCGTATGTCAGCAGGTAAGCTTCGTAATCTCCTCAGTCACATCTTTCTTCTGTGTGACATGGAGGTAACGTATGCCTTCCTCACAGCATTGTTGTCAGCATCCAGCTTTGCTAAATACCAATGCATGTCAGATTTTAAAAATCTCTATGGAGACGTTAAGTCCATATAAGTCTAAAGTTTTTAATAACTGAGACAGGGATGGGGGTAGGAGGGGTATGACGGTCTACCATGCGCCCACAGTCCAGAATCAATAGTAAGAAAGGACATTTGTGCTTGATTACCACATGTAGCACAGGTGAGAGGCATGACAGCTCTACACTTCTGTTTGAACCTTATATACACTCCTGATGAATTCAGAGAGTAAAAAAGATAGCAACTCACATACTTGCCTGGAAAAAGTTGCAGTTAAAGCCATGAAAATAGAACAGAGTCACTTTCTGTTTTTATGTTCATTTTTTTCACTCAGAATGTCCCCTGTTTTGCTTAGGAACGTTTTATGCATTGCTTGGTAACTGAAGGCAATAAGCTCTAATCAGAGCACTGTAGTGGGGGCAGCGGAGGGCTAGTGTGGGGCTCTGGACATCCTAGTACAGGGGGACTGTGTGTTCACTCCAGGGAGCCTGGGGGCCGAAAGGCGAAGTATTTACTCTCCCCTCCCTTGTTCAAATGACATTTGTATGTTGTGTATCAGGTATGTTGCATCCCAGCCTATTGTTGGTTGGCCAGGAAATGATCACTGTGCAGGCTTAGACCTTGTTGCTGAAGAGCACTCACATCACAGCAGCCAGGTCACAATCCCCATCAGCTCTCTGAATGCGACATGTAGTCACTCTTTCCAGAAGCCTTCTGGAAATATGGTGTGAAACCTCGGTGCAACAGCTGGAGGCAATGGGAAGTATAGCTAAAACAAGAAAAGAAAGAAAATGTTAGATCACAGTTTATAGAACAATGGCCTGGCTCTCATCTTAAAGACTCAAAAACACAACGTAAATCCACGTGAGCAAGGGGTAAACGTGTACTGAGGGCTTTGTGCATGCAGACCCAGGCAGTACTGTCTCTGCCTTCCAGAACATACACTGTATTTGGGGAAGATAAATTTAAGCACAGGCAAAGACACAAAACAATTGAAGTGATGAAGAAATGTTCCAGACAACAATGTTAGTGGGGTTGCAGACTGACTTGATAAAAGATGAAAGAAGTGAGGTTGACACAGTGCAGAAGAGAGTGGCCACATGGGCCCCTGGAGCAGGTTGGAACGTTTCCCACTTAGGAAGGACTTGGCTGAATCTTGAAGGATTTGGATGGGTGACAAAAAATGGAGAAGACTTATCCGCACTAATGAAAGTACGTGGTCAGGAGTTCTGAGACAGGAAAGTGCAAAGCGCATTTAGGGTATTGAGAAAAATAGACCATTTTCTCTGAATTAAGCAGCTAGGAAGGTGAGTAATGGGGGATATGGTTCAAAAGATAGACTGAGGTCACACCACTGAGGCCTTGAATGTCCATCTAAGGAGGTTTAGCTTTTATGAAATGGGGACCATTAAAGATTTGAGAAAGGAGAGAGTTTTAGGAAAATCCATCTTGCAGTGATAAGCTCCCATTTGGGGGGTGGGGGGTGATGGGCAGGAGGTCAAGCTACGAGGGGCTTATGTTACCCAGATATCAGGGGACGAGGAGACGAGGGCAACACAAATATAAAAGGAAATCTATCCCTTACTAAATTGTGTATCTGCAAATTCCTACCTGCCACATGCACACAGTATTCTATGCTTCCCATTCTACCAAGAGAGTAGTAAATTAAAAAATACATTTTTTAAGAACCTATAGTCAAGAGGCTGCAGATGGCAGCCTGATAATAACAAACAGAAGTTAGGTCCTGAATGAGGGGTTAAAAGAAATGGTTAGACCTCTTTATAGTGTCAGCTCTAAGCAATAGGGGTACCGGTGCTTGGGATGGGGGAAGATCTCTGTGCGCATGCTTTGCCCATATGGAAACATCAGGCTTACTCACAGCTATGGAGTAGAGAAGGAGCCGAATGTGAAATTAAGAATGTGTATGTGGGGCTGGCCGAGTGGCGCCATTGGTTAAGAGCTGCCTTGGGAAGCCAGAGGGCCCCGGTTCGGATCCCACATATGAGGGCCAGTGACACTGCCCTCTACAGCTAAGATGCTGAACAACAGCTCAACCTGGAGCTGGGCTGCCCTAAGTCACCGGTAACACCGGTGACGGTATAGGCTGCAGTCCCTGTTGCAGTGCGTTGCCATGGGCTACCGTGTGTAGCCAACAGCTAGCGTGAGCGGCCAGCAGCCGCTGTGAGCAGCCATCCAGAAGCTGGCGACTGACCTGTCTCGCCCGGGAAGAGCCCAATAATGGTGCCAACTTGGGCCAGTGAAGCGACGTCCTCCACAACTAGACTGAAGAACAAAAAGGACAGCAACTTGTCTGTTCCCCTTCCCCCAATTCCCCAGCGCTGTTCCCATCCCCCATTCCCCCAATAAAAATCTTTAAAAAAAAAAAGAATGTGTATATGACTCTCTGGGCATCAAAACTTTCCATTACCAGTCATCCATTCATTTATTCATTTAACTATTCAACAAATATTTATTGAGCAGTTAAAATGTTCCAGGAATAATGCTGGCCACCAGGGGATACAAAAATAAATAAAACAAATGTCCCTGTCCTCAAGAGGCTGTAGTAGAGGAAACAGATTTGGAGCTAAATGCTTAGGAAACGGCCCCATTGGCCCACTATAACTGTACTTCTGGAATTCTGTCCTTCTGAAAAGGCTCCCACAAGTCACAAAGATGGGTGTACAGCTGCTCACTATAGCAAAACATTAGTGACAATCTGAACATCTACCAATAGTGAAATAAATAATGGTACATCTAAATGGAATAAAGGATGAAGTAGATGTATGTACATTAACATCCCGGGGGTGCCAAAAAATGTATATACAGGACTTATATTCATCTTTTGTTATCAGTATATATTGAGTATTATAATTTTAATACAGTTTTTTCCTTTCTTAAAATGTGACACGTGGCACCCTCTGTATATGAATTCCATAATTTATTGTTAAGTGAGAAAAGCAAGTTTCAGTACAAGAACTATAAATGATCCCATTTTTATATAAAAATAGAATGTACACACATACAAAGAGGAAAAGATATGGAAATATATATGCCCACATTTATAAGCAAAGACTACTTCTAGAAAGGGGGCACATTTTCAACTAGCATGCAACACTTATAATGTTTTTAAACTTCCAATGCTATGAAGAGCCGAAACAAGTCCCCTAGAAACACAGATTAGAGAACTCCACCTAGGGAAGTCAGGGCAGGCATCCCAGGACATGAAGTTTGGACTCAGTTTTAAAGGTGGAGTCAGAACTCACCTAACTGAGAGGGGACCTCGAACATGTCCTGATCACTGGGCTAGAAGAGAGTGAAGTGCTTCTTAGGTAGTTTATCCCACAAAATGAGTCAAACTCATGGGACTTGGCATCCTAGACCATGGCACGTCTTCTCTGGCAAGATTCTTGTTCAAAATGGTACAAGAAGGAAATTCTGCTCTGACTTCAAGTCTTATCCAGGGCCTGGGGAAAATGCCTTGTCCTTAGTCCTCTAGCCTCATGGAGGATCTGAGTAAAATTCACTGGAGCGCTTCCCTCCAGAAAGAAAGACTTTCTCAACATTCCCTCCTGTCCCACTTGTCCTGAATAGCTCAACGCTGCTCCATTTGGAACAGAATCTAGGCTTGAGAAAATAAATAAATACATAAATAAATAAATAAATAGCAATCTAGCTTCAGCCCAGTATATATTTTTTACTCTCAGAGAATTAGAATATATGTACACTCTCCAATTATACATTAATTATATATTTACAAAAATGTATGTCTTTTTTTTTTTAGTGGAGAAATTAAATTATTGGGAAAATATCACATTAATGGGAAATTACAAAAGAGCATGCTAAGTCTTATAATAGGAAAATACAGGGTGCTAGAGAGCCATATAAGAGGGCAATCTAACTTACACTTGGGGACAATTGAAAAGACTTCTTAGAAGGTCATGCATATAAAGGCCACAAAATTAGAAAGTATGTTTCATACAGAAGACACATCCCCTGCCGAAGGCTCTGAAGTGGTGGGCCCACAAAAATGTATGCTTTTAATAACTTCTAAACAATGCATTTAAATTAAATAGATGTCGTTGCAATATACCCATGCAAGTGATATAAAGTGCTCAGCCTCAGTTCTGTTATAATTTAGCTGTCATGTGAGTCTGCAGCATCCCAAATGAAGGAAAAGTTTACCTTTCCCAGTGCAAGCTATTTCATGCCACAAGGACCACCCTCGTCCTTCTCAATCTAGACCCAGGAAGGGCTTTTCATTTTGTTATGCATATAAGGAGTGTGTGTAGAGGCATACCCAAATACCACCCAACCAGATTCACTAGAATAAGGAAAGAATCATTCGTTCAGTAAACATGCATTGAGTGTCCACTCTGTGTCAGGCCCTAAACTCTGTATTAGAAATGCTGAAATAAACATGCATAGCTTCCATCCTCGCGATATTTACTAGTCCAATGGGAGGCAGGCAGGCAAACAAATAATCACAACACAGCAAAATACGAGACACGGTCAAAGTGCGATGCGATTATAAATGAAAGCAACCAGATTCAAAAGGCCATATTTTGTATGAAGTTGTTTATGTGAAATGTCCAGAATAGACAAATGCAGAGACAGAAAGTAGATTAGTGGTTGCCAGGGGCTGGGGTAGGGGGGAATGGGGAGTGACTGCTTACAGGTCGAGTCCCTTTTGGGGTGATGAAATGTGCTGGAATTAGATAGTGATGATGGTTGTATGATTCTATGACTATACTAAAAACCACTAAATTGTACACTTTAAAATGGTGAATTTTATGGTATGTGAATTATATTTCAATTTTTAAAAAAGTGCTGTAGGAGAACACTGGTTGTCCTTACATCTATTAATACATTTATTTCCTAAACTGAATTGTTTTTTCTTTAGCTATGCTGTACTGCCTATTCTCCAAGTCAAAGTATTTTAATATCCCCCTAAAGGCTTGGGGTTTATTTACGTATCCATCTATCCATGCATTCACCCATCTTACTGTATAAGAATCACTATGTGAATTCTTGTAGAGCGAATCACTATTTATATCTATATCTATATCTATATCTATATCTATATCTATATCTATATCTATGAATTCTTATTGTGAATCACTATACTAGAGCCTGGAGGTAGAAAGATGAAAGGGTTGCCAGCTTCAAAGAGTTAATACACAAACCACTGCTATTAGTTGTGACCCAGGCGACTATAAAATAGGAAATGGACTTTCAGAAGCATTGTGCTAATTATGAGTCATAGGCAAACCTGTGTTTTTAGGAATTTGAGTTATCTGAGAGCGGACATCAATTCAAGGAATAGATTTAAGCCAGAAAGACACCCAGGACCTATATGTACTCAGTAAACTGATACACATTTCTCAAATATAAAAGTAGGATGGGCTCACTTGGAGATTACTTGACCTAAATCAGATTATCTACATAAAGGCAAGAGGCAGGCCAACATTTATTACATGTTGGCAGATGTGACTGGTGCCCTCGTGAGGAAGCAGGAAACATAAAAGGCCAGGAGGCCACCTGAGTGGCTCAGTTGGTTAAGAGCTCGCTCAAGAGTGCGAGCTCTGAGCAACAGCGGTTCGAGTCCGGCTTGAGCTGATCTGCCAACAGGTGGCAGGATGGCTCAGCTAAAGTAATAATAATAATAAAAATAAATAAATAAAAGGCCGGAAAAGGTAGAATCCTTTGAAGAGTACAGGAGTTGCTTGGCAATGAAGAATGTTACATGGTTTGGGCTAGGGCGATGGTGAG